GGGGGGGGGGGGGAGGGTTCGGCGGAAACTGCGGAACGCCGAGCGAGGAGGATGCGAAAGGTGCCTCGAAAAAGGAGCAGTCGACTTGTGCGGGGCCGCGCGCGTTCTCTCTCCGTCTCTCTCGCTTTCAAAGGACGCCTACTCTCCTTAAACCTAAATATAACGGCCAGTCAAGTGCAATTCCTTTCTTCGATCGTTCCTCGCGCCATATTGGGCTCTTGCACCGCGCGCACGCACTGCCATACGCACGTACGCACGCATGCACTGGCGCATGTGGAACCGCGACACACCGACCGTTCGCCCAGGTCGACGCGTTGTCGAGGCGCGACACCCTGTATACCTGGATGATGTCGAAAGTGAAAGTATCGGAAGCGAGGTATCGATACCCTAGGATACTGCTCACGTTAGCCAGGTGTATAGAGTGTCCTGGGAGCATTCGCGACGATCAACTTGTCGATGAAATTTGCGGAGTTGTGGGGATAAGTTTTGACCGTGGCTATACCGCGGTTGTAATTTTTGCGAGGCTCGAGGCTAAATATCTCGTGAGAGTAGACGGTGAGTAGTAATTCTGCTTGGCTTCAACTCTTTCGCTGCCAATTTTGTTTTTTAAAAATGCAATTTTCTTTTTGTTTTCACTTGAATATGTTAATGTAACAAGCAATAAAAGTTTTATGTTTGATGCCAAAGGAACAAAACCGGGACACTGATGTCCCATTGGAGTTTTTGGAAGAGCATGTCCCAACGATAATAAGTAGAGCTGATATGTTTTAAATGCCAAAAAAGCTATTTATTCAATTGAATAAAATTATAATTAATGGTGGAAAAACATATATCCCGCGAAAGGATTAAGCGATGAAGATTTCTCAGGTCTTTTATGGTTTAAATATTATTTTTGAAATCTCGCCGTGTCAATTAGCTAGTTTATAATTTCGTCAAATTTGAGATAAGTCTGTATGTTTGTCTGTATATTTTAAGAGAACTAACGACAATTATATGTATGTCGCTTTTAGCAAAAAATACATTACCTGCATTTGTCAAGAATAGTATCATTATTATTATTTCAAATATAATCCTTGCCTTACGGCTTAGAATGACTTCCTTCAATAATTTTCACACACCTCCCTTTGCATCTTTTATCCCCTTTTTCTTATGCATTAAATATGAATCAATCACATTAATATAAACATTAAAATATAACCTAAAAACGTATAAAATAATTCTTGATCCATTTTATCGCCCACTGAACTTTCCTCACTCTTATTTAATCTTTCTATTTATTATTCCTACCTTTTTTGCGATTTAACGTTTCATTTTTAACACCCAAACTAAATTCAACAAAAATTTAAGTTTATACTGAGAAAAAAGGTGGTTAATGAGACTTCGCTCGAAAGGACAAAATTTACTCAAGCAAACGTTTAGTATAGTTGCTATGATGAGAATTATCAATTGATTCTATGGTTGCGATTTGATCAACAACTATCAACGCATTTTATTGTTGTACTAATATGTAATTTGTTTAATAGATAAATTGCTTTTTTTCTCAGTGTGTGTACCTACAGTTTATTAAATTTATTAAATTATTAATTTATTACATTACTGAACAGTACTATTACTAATCATGAAGTCCTCATAAATAGCCAACAATTATTAATCGCCAACAATTCAATCGTTCAAACTTTGTCTAAATAAATGTAAGTGAAACATTTCGGGCAATATCGAAGCGAAAAATAATCCTAAAATTTTTAATTAGAGTATAAATAACACGTTCCGTTGCCCAGCCATTCTCTCGGTTTATAATAAATGTTACCCCAATTCTCGCTTGAATCGACCTACAGTCAAGCGCAACGATTGAGCCGTAACCCCGCATGCGCCGTGATTCTCAAAATCGAGAAACGATATAAGCGTGACGTCACTGTCGGCATCTCTGACGTAATTTCACCTATATCAGCCCGTTACTGGCCCGGTCAGAGTGTCGGTCCGAATAATTAAAAACATCTCGATAATTGCAACGACCGAACGACAAACACTTCTAAGGAGGACATGTAAAACGCGAGACCGTCGATTCTTATTTTGATTTGTGTCGCTTAGTATTTCGCCGAACAAGAGAAAATATATCAATAGCCCCATTCCAAAAATTCCATCTTAAACCACCCTCGAGCGGCGGCAAATACGTCGTTTTCTGAACGTCGGAACTTGAAATATGTAACGTGATATATGTAAAAAAATCCTAAGTGGCATATTTTTTTCATTAAAGGAGATATAGTATATGTGCACAAATCTTTATGGGTATGCGTGTGCAAATAGCATCTCCAAATTACATATGAAAACTAAGTTCTTTCAACATTTTTAAACAAACAGAACACATAGAACTTTTACTTATACATTAAATATAGAGATTAGAAAAAGACGTAAAATAAATAATTGATAAAATAAATAGTTAAATATAAAAATATATGGATTGATATGTGTACATGTAAAGAAAATAATAAATAAGTAAATACAAAAATGAGACTCAGTAGTTATTCAATCGCACGTATTAATAAATGTTTGAAACTAGATAAGGTACCATAAGAGAAATCTATGTAGTCTGAAAATGTATTCGCCAACATGCATCTATTTCTCAGTTCAGTAATGTAATAAATGATCTATTTATATCCTACGTCTATTTACAGAATATAACATTAAGTTGTATTCTGCTTAACATATCTGAATATTGGACATTATTATTAAAGATACATTTAAAAAAAGAGATCAAATATCATTCTCTTCTTTCGCAAGGACAGTATATTTATTCTTTCAAAGATTAGTCCATACTCATGACATGTAATAGACGTTGGTTCTATATTGAGTCATCATTAGTAGCGTGCACAAATAAATGCCACATTTGCATCGGTCAATTTGAAAACTTGATCGTGTAAGATCGCGAGATATTAGCCATTCTATATGATTGCGTCGTGAAGATTACATTATATCCAAGATTATATTCTTAATTTAGATTGTAGATTTATCCAAGTTATTATAAATATGAATTTATTCGAAACATATGCGTGAATTGCCAATCTAGTTCATTAATCTTTTTTCATTAATATTTCAAAATTTTACGTGGTTGTTTGCTCAGGTTGATATATTTTACCTGCATACTACAACTAAAACGCGAGTTGCCAGACATTCCGTATGACTTTAAAAAAAATTTTTGTTTTAATAAAATAAATTTTAAAAACTGAAATTAAGAGATATACGTATAATATGGATAAATGAAAAGAAACAATTAAAATATTACTTTAGAGTCATTTCTGAGATCTACATTAGCTGTCAATCAGGCATTCCACAACTTCCATTGTTATCGGACTAAATCTACGTTGCTACAAAAGATGCCGTTGACGTTTTTTCATTTCTCAAGACATGTTTACGTCGTTTTCAGAGTGACCGATTGAATTCGAATGGACACCGCGGAGACTCAATACACGCTATAATCAATGACCAGGACAAATGGATTCAACACTCACCCTGCATTTTCAGCGGCAGCAATGGACATGTGCCTCCTCTCATCGAGGGTGGGCGCGGCGTCGAATTGCCGAGGAAGATCCGTGGTAATGAATTGAGAGTCACGCGTACACGAGAGGATGGGCTCTCCTTTCTTCTCTCCTCGCGCGTCGCGCCAACAACTTCTCCTCACTACCACACGTCGATCACTTTACTGGGCAACACAGCAAGGTCGCGAATCACCAATCGCGCGACAACAATCGACGCACAAGTATCACAGAAAATTAACACACACGCGAGCGAGCGACGACGCGCGCGTTTCGTCGCGGTCGAAAGAAACGAAAAAGGAAAGAGGCGGAAAGAAAGCTAACAATAAACAGTAACGACAAAATTGTAGTCCGCCTTTCTTCTTCCCAGTGTGATCCCGAAAGGGACACAAAGGCAGCGGACACGTGCACCGCCCCCGAAAGTCTCCTAGGCGTTCCGAAGGACCGTTCTGGCCGGCGAGAATTTCCGACGGTATCGTCTTCGCGAACCAATCAATCGTCGATTAGCCGACGCTCGACGAAGACACGCGGATCGAGGGAGGCTGCTGCATCCTTCTTCCGTCGATTTTCAGCCGCCTTGACGCTGGTCGACATTCGATACAGCCGGTGGCCGTTGTTGCTGTCGAGCGGACGGCGCAGCACGCGTTCGCTCGCTCCTCCTGCCTCTTCTTCTTCCCTCTTTGCCCCCTCTCTCTGTCGCCTTTTCTCTTCTCCTTCCTTCTGCGAAGGATGCGCACGCTCGGCAGGTGCAGCAGCGGAGCCTCGCACGAATCGGCCCGATCACGACAGAATTTCGAGCGCCGTCGGCTTCCGCCGGTTTCTCGGTTCGAGTACGAACGGGCGATAGCGTGATCGACGATCGGTGTGATCTCTCTATCGGCGCGGGACGCTCTTCTTCTTCTTCGTCTTCTTCTTCTCCTCCTGTGTCCTCGTCCAGGTCTAGATGAGCCTGCAGCACGAGGCGATGGGAGTGTCTCTTCCTCGAAACTCTCCCTTTGATTTTTCCCCCCTTTCCTCGGGCTTTATTCGATTTCCTGGAGAAGAGGTCGCGAAATTCTCTTCGTGGTTTAGCCCTGGCAGCAAGAGCTCTTCCAAAAACTCCTTGAAACTCACTCGCTAATCAGCGAAGTATCCCGCACTTCCTGCCGTCGAAGGTCCTGCCGATCCTCGCTGAACTTTCTCGCGCCCGCGAAGTTCAACGGTTTTGCGTTGGGTAGGTCGCGATCACGATAAGCGGGTCGATCCTGGAAACGATAACGGTGAACGTGAACGTGAGAGTGACGATCATCGAGCGTGGTAGGAAGGAGGGCAGAAGGGAGGGAGGGAGGGAGGGAAGGAGAGAGAGAGAGAGAGAGAGAGAGAGAGAGAAGGCACGGAGGCATGCAGCAAGGTGGGAAGGACGGGGGGAAAGGGTATTGCGTTGTAAAACGCGATACGTAACGCGTTAACGAGTGGGACGAGTAAAAAGAATTGCGCCGCGGTTACGTTGAACGTATTACGTTCGAGGAGGCGTTTGCATACGGTGACGAGTTCGTAACGCGCGCGTCGTTTCTAGTGATCCGCACTCGTACGCGTGAGGTAATCGAATCATTAGTGAACAAATGGTCACTGACGCTTCCGTAAATGCGATAGAAAAAAAAAGGTAACAGAACCGCGCGCAGGATTCTGACGTCTTGCGTATAAAGCGCAGGCTTTACAAATAACTGTCATTACCGACATTGACATTTGTATCTGTTGCTCGACTCGACTATTGTTAACGTCCGTTATTATCGTTATTAGTATTATTATTGCGCTCGGATCATACTATTATTGTTATTTCAGTCGGATACATCGTGTCGTATTTCGCATTAAGTCACCAGCGGTAAAGAAATCATAACGAGAAATAAATTCCGTAACGTTTGAGTACGTCATCTCTCGTACGAGTATTACTTATTACTTTCTCCCGCAGCGACCACGTCCGTGAAAAAAAGGGGAACGAACGTAATCTTCGCGCTACTGTCGGAACAATGTTGCCATTGTCGTCGTGTCTTACGAGATAACACCACTCGCGATTATTTCATGCACACTGTGCCAGAAACATAGTTCGGTTCGCGGAAGAATCATCACTCGGAGGAGTGCTGCATCATTAATAATTCCAAAGCGTTTTCATATCATTGTTACGCGCATTTCCAAAGAGAAATAGAGAGAATTTGGTCTCTTTAATGTTGCGGGTGCATTATTAACAATCGATGTTTCTTTCTTTGCGAAAATTTACGGAAATCGTGAACGCCATTTGTCATTATTGAACACTAATGTGGAACGAAATCGCACCTTTCGCAAAGCTACGAGCGCGCGTGCGTTTTTTCCCTCTTTTCGGCGCAAAGCAAGCGAGAAGGTTAAACGCATCCGCAACTAATGGCAGCTTTCGAAATCGCCTCCTCGCAACATAACAACTGTCGTCTCTACGTAGCTTCTACGGTGTAACCTCGCGCATCACATGGCGTCGCGCTTGACGAGGCTGCCATTAATACAATAGCCCGTGCATGCCGCGCATGTCCACACGGCCCATTCTGCTTCCGAAACATATGTAGACTGTGGGCGCGTTTAGGAAAACCTCGAGATCGATATCGTCGGCCGACGACGACGACGACATTTCGCGCCCGTCGCGAATCCACGCCGCGATTTATCGAATCTATACGGGGTGTTCCAAACGCGATCTGAATTTCAATGACGGACTCTACGGTCAATTCGAAGTCGATCTTTCGTTAACTACAGCTGTCAGCGATAACTACCGGACTACAGGCGAGCAAACAGGAACGAAGAATTTATTTTCACGAGACCTCATTCGCATTTAAATTTGCGCAAACTCGATTTTTGGTGAATTCGAAATTCAATCGCCAACACGTGCAATGTCGGATGGCTGCGACGTCTCGGAATTCTTTAATTCGTCATGGAGCTTGTTACTGAGCTCAAATTGGATCGTCAATAAATTAACCTCGGAGCAGGCGCGTGGGTGACACGTGTCAGCCGTCTTCTTTTTCTCTAACGATGAAATTCGCGATTCAAGCGGCCTCTTCCGCAAACTAACGTCGCGAGAATTACATATGTTGCGAGAATAGAATACGATCAGAAATCGATCCAAGAAAATTTCACCGTTTCGACAAAAATATGACGACGCACATGTTGCGCCAACCCACTCGTATTCTCTGCTTCTTGAGACGCGAGATGATACAAAGACCAGTCCAAGTTTTTTCGCGTCGTTAAAATTGAAATTAAGCGTTCGCCGACATGCACTGACTAAAGATTCCTCTTAAAAATAAGTCTAAAACTATAAGATGTAAGATTTAAAGAATTAATATAACTAAAAACATAACTAAAAACAATAAAACTATTATAGATATATATAAAATACATATTTAAGGTTTCTTTAAAAAATTTATCTGATATTATGAAGTGTACTTAAGGCATGAAATCGTAAACATTCTTCTGAAAGTGCCGACGCGTAAAAAACACTTTTCCCGAGCAACTCTTCCCGTGATATTTAGGTGAGTCATTCGTGCCGCGATTGCAAGCCACGACTACGACGGCGGTCGTGATTGCGAATCGAGTCTCGCAAATCCGAATCACGCGCAGCGAACGCACGGTCACACAGCGTGAATTTAGAGGTCGCGTGGCCCGATTGGCCCGTGTTTTTCGGCTTCGCGCGTACTTGAACGTCTCGCCAACGTCGAATTACGCGTCAAACGGCACGCTGTAAACGCGATCGTAATTAATTCGGACATCGCGCGAGTGCGTTGTGTGCATAAAGGAGCGCTGCGTCAATCATCGATTTTCAGATTATCTCCAAAACAAGCGCAACGCTCGCCTCCTCACGCTTGCGTCACGTGTAGAAAACACGACCTTGCGCGCCCGAGAGTCGAAATTATGCTTCTACGTTAACACCGCAAATTCTGTCTAACTTGAAAGATTAACCTTTTAGGTACGCCACTATAGTGGCTTTCGCGTATATCATCTTTCTGAACGGTACGCCACTATAGTGGCTCATTCTTATTTCTAATAAATTATAATTTATTCATCTAATACTGTATTCTAATGTACCTGCGTAGTGAAAAGCATTATCAGGCACAAATAGCATTGTTGCATTGCTTATGCACAGTCCGCATTGAACTTTGTCGTACAGAGATACAGCTCCGTGGAAAGTTTCTGCCTAAGAGGTTAATAAAAAATCTCGAAATACAACACTACAATCCATTATTTGCCATCGCTTTTTCTATATTAACAATTCGCGAATTACTAACGATCTTTACAACGAATGATAGATTCGTATCTGTAGATTGTTATTCAGCTGTTTGGAACAATATCTCTCATTGTATGAAGTAAGCTGATGAATAAGAATGAAATAAACAGATATTCATTAAATTCAAACTGTCAGTTTATATTAACTGTCAAGTTAACAATACGTCAAATAATGTCCGATTAAGAATACTGACTTAAGTTTCGACTCGAGTATCTCTTTATTCTCGGTAAAATCGTCAAACGTCAATTACGACCGGAAAAACCTTCTATAAGTGAATTTACATGCCTGGAAATACACATGATGTATCTCTACTCGCGTCCCAACATCCTGTGCTCTCCGTCCTGGCTTCCAGATTCAGCATCCGGACTGCGACTGTTCCATCGTTCCGGATACTCATTCGCGACACTGACACTCGCGTAGAGATACAGTTCGATTACAGAAACACGTTGTTAATTAGCGCGATGCCGACGAGAACCCGGTTAATTATATCGAGAACCAATGGAATACTCCAACACCTGACGGGAATAATAACTAATGATACTGAAAACACTCGAAAAAGTACGCGAGCACGAAGATAAATTTGACCGCCTTGAAGATCCCCAATGTTTTTAGAGTGTTGATTGTTCTCATCTCCTGACTTTGTGACAGGCGACGACGCTTGACGATTGATGACGCTTCTCACCCATTGTTTTGATATTGTCGCACGTCGCGTGCTTTTTTATAACCGTATCGTTACGTTTTCCGAGTTGACAAGCGACGAACATACCACGACGTGAAATATCTCAATGCGTTGGTTCTCATTTCTGCCGACTCTCGAAATATTTAATACAACTCTCGAGGCATTGCGTGCATTTAATTAACACACGTTTCTCAGATCGAACTATATTATATCTATGCGAGTGTCAATGTCAGTGTCGATACTATAGTGTCAATGACACGAGTTATGACATGAGTTGTGCCACGATACAACAACCGAAAGCCAGGATATTGGATATCGGAACACGACAGCGATGTAGTACGTATTTCCAAATGCGTAAGATCATAATTATATATATATATATATATATATATATATATATATATATATATATAGAGAGAGAGAGAGAGAGAGAGAGAGAGAGAGATTTTCGATTTTAACGTTTAGACGTTTCATGAACTTGCCGAAAATACAGAGAAAAGAGCTACATACTGTATGAGTTAAAATATAGCTCTGGTAGCTGAACAGGGACAGCTAATGTCATTGCTGTCGCAGTTTAATTTATTATTTGAACTTCAATGCTATGGCAAAAATATCCGCTGCTACATAGAGAGTTCCTATCATTATCATTTCGATTTCCTTTAAATTGCACTTTACGTCAAAAACATAAAAGTATGACGTTTTGCATTAAAAATTCAAATAAAGTTTTCTTATTGATTTTTAACTTAAACCGATAATTAATATTCACTTTTTGACAGATACAGAAACTGATGCCTTTTGTACTTACATAATTACGCTATTTTATTCCTATTCCAGAAGAACGATTTCTCGTCCACCGAAAGCGCGATAATTTTCTCTTCGCAATGATTCTTGTTTCCAGTCGCTACGACGTTTACAGGTGAAGTTATTAACAATTTGCGATTTGCGTTGTCGATCAATACGGATGCGAATAGCACAGAAAATTATAAACAGTAAGAACTTGAGCAGTAAGAAAAGTCGGCTATTCACAATTAATTATTCGCGAATTGTAAGGAAAATAATCAACTGTGATGGTCAATTTACTTATTGTTAAAATTTTACTCCTCACGTTTTTCTGTGTGCTCCCGGCCTAAAAGCTCGTCTACAACACGCGGAGTAAATTGACGTAAATTGGAATAAGAAAACGATTTATTTCGCTCACACCTGTACTCTAGTTCTCTCTCACAGCAGAAGTATTTCTCTCGAGTAAGAGAAGATTACCTCTCAAGACTTTAACGCGACGCATGAATGGTATGCGGAGAATGCAACTACTGTTTCCGAAAAGTCACTTTAACGCAGTGCACGACGGTATACAGTGACACGACTCGCTATCCCCTCCAGTCCTCCCCCCCACTCTCGACTCAATAAGCATAGCTCCGCCTACTTGCGATCATTCACCTTTAGGCCGATTCTACAATATGTCGTTTGCCAGAGTCGGAGGTCGGAACGCAGTCGGAATGGTCCAATGAGAATTAATTTTTTCGAAAATGAGTTCTCATTGGACCATCGCGGCTGCGTCATCCAACATCCGACATCCAACTCCGACATAGGGTGCTTTAAGCACAAAGATTGTCGCAATCATTTCCGACAGTGTCGTAGACATAAAGGCCAAATCACATTAGCGATTGACGATTGATGATTGACGATCGAAGATTGGAACTTGACCAATAGGAACAAAGCAAACCAAGGTTGAAGCTCGTTGATTCGTAAAAATCTAATTTTTAATCGTCAATCGTCAATTGCTAGTGTGATTTTGCCTTAAGTCGGTGTCGGAAGTCAACGCACAAGGATCGACGTGGACGTATGCTGCATCAATCGTCCAACTTTTCTAAACATATTTGATATAGCATACGTCTACGTCAATCCTTGTGCATTGACTTCCGACACCGACTTACGTCTACGACACTGTCGGAAACCATTGCGACAATCTTTGTGTTCAGACCTATACGGCGTATTGTGTTCCAGGCCTTAGAAGCAAGATGCGTCGGCGCGAGAGCAAGTACCGGCGTCACACAAGCGCGAATTTCACTTTTCACGAGATCACCGCTCAAAATTCGCGTGTATCTCTGGCGTCGAATTTTCTTTCTTCGTATTATGATTATCGCCGAGCTTCTAATTGCCGATTAATAAGATCATCCAATTCTACTGCTAATTGCAGTAGTGAGTCGATGGTACTTACAAGTGTAAGAGAGACGCAATACATCGCGACAAGTACTGGTTGCGTATGTCGAAAAATGACGAGATTACTCCCAAATAACGTACTCACGATATCGCACATCGCTATTCTCGGTACTCCCGACACTTATTTCCGCATGGGACTTACTTTCGACGGACAAAAGACGCGCAAAATACGGAGCGATGTCGATCGATGTGTCAATGGCGGCTGCTCCGCGCGGAAAGATCAAAATCGAAGATGGCCGTGCAATTGGTGATGTACGCCAACTATTAGCGCCGCGGCGTGAACATTGTCGCGTTTATACAACAACGCACTCTAGACACTCAATGCCGCGGATCGATATCTAACCTAAGCTCAGCACACTATCGATAGATCGAGTCACTAAAAATTTTCGACAAGTCGCATCTGCATCTAGCTATGCATTTCTCATGACTGTTAATCAATTCATAAAGCGGGAACGTTTCTTAGATTAATTAATATAAGATGAGAAAACGTGTAGCTATATAAACGAATATGACTGGTCGAAAATGTTTTTCCAACTGTCAATCTATCGACAGTGAGGCCTCCGCGGGACTGAATACGGTTGAGTAGAGATTGAAACAAGTAAGTCACGCGGATCGATTCGGCGATAGTCTTTTTCACGTGAGACCGCCAGAGACTCTCGACGGTGACGGGAGTACTTTCTCATGAACGTTATTTTTATAGTGGCGCGAAATTGACATAACGTCCTATAAAATCGTTTCCAATTATTGAAAAGACCGGTAAGAAATGAGATTCCGAGAGGGAGAGGATGAAGAACATGCGCGCGCGTACTCGTGTCGACCTAGGTCGTAACGTTTACGACACGTCAGCATTGCGAGATCACCATTTAAAGTGCGAGACCATTTATAATAAATAGCTCCGTTATCCTTGCGCCACGTAATTTCAAAAGCTTCGGAAAATAGCCTCAACTTTATCGGTTCGTTACGCACAGGGAGTATTAAAGTTGCGAGTAAAGTTGCGAATAAAGTTGTAATTGTATCGACGCCATAAAGTCAAAGCAATCGCCTGTCATCTTTCTTTCGCTTCGTTCCTCTAACATAATGTCAAAAATACAAATACGTAAACATCTTATACGTAAATACCTTCAAACAATCCCAATTTCCGCAATTTATTCAAATATTATTTCGAGATAAATGTATTCTCTTTCGCTATTATTACGTATTATTATTATTTTGCCTTAACACCTTTAGTAATGAAATACCACACAAGCGGACAGAGAGGCACGGACATTAATATTCCCTTAGAATTCTCGAAAATAGAGCCAATTCTACCAACCACGAGGGCCCGCGGAAAAAAACGACGTTTTTCGTGGCGCTCCCGTGGAAAAAAAGAGAAAGGGAAACAATGGATAGTTTTGCGTATAAGCACGATAGTTCTCAAACACACTGTATATGAACAGTCGTCGAAACACACTCGTCAGAATATCGGACGGCGGAGCCTATATTTTGCGAAACCGCATACAACGCGAGTTACATTGTAACTCGCCTTCCTCGAATAGACTAGGACCGAGCACGATCGCGTGACATGCCCTTAGGGATAACCGCGCACGCCCTTCCGAGCTCATTAGACGGAGAAAAAGTTTAGCGCAGAGATGGGAGAATCCGCGCGAAATTAGGCGGACCGCGGATTCGCAGAATATGCCACCGCGTTGCCATTGTCCAATTTTTATCCTCCATTATCGGCCCCGGGGTCCAAACGTGAGGAAACGGACGGGCGAACGTAGGAGAAGGGAAGAGAGATAGCGACAGTGTGATGTTTGTTCCTCTCGGAATATATCAGCCGCGACTATAGTGTAATAAATCATCGGCTATTGCGGTTACACCCCGAGGTAACGAACGCATGCATGCGAACAAATAGAACGATTCGTCCTTAAGCGGAAAATGCTTGAGATCGCTGTTACGAGGTGTCGGGATTACGTCGCAGGTGAGTCGAGAAAAAGGTTAAAGGTGCGAGACATATCGCGTGCGTTAAAAAAGGAGACACGATCAAACACGCGATTTCTTCGGCGCGTCGCATAACACGCAGTATGCTCGAAACAGTTACTTTGATGTCACCCGTTATCCATTCAACGCGAGACCACGGGTGAATCTTTTCCTTTCAACCGCGCTCTTTCACACTCGCCGCGCTACAAACAAAACACGCTCTCGGTTCGAACAGCATGGTTAGAGAAGGAAAACGAAAGAGGGGGAGGGGGGGGCAACGAATGCGCGAGGAACTGTCGTTGTCGTCGAGAGGAACAGATTCACCGAACCGTGCGACTCCTAAACACAGCGCCGTATCACCTAAGTGGGATCACCAAAAGAACACAAAACCACTCACAAATCACACGTACCTTTACCGATGCGTCTTCGACGCGTGCACGAACAGTCCCTCTCCTTTCCTCTGTCTCTCCCTCGTGTCACACGCGGAGTAGGCGAGTTGGCAGGCAGGCTGGCTCGCTGGCTGGTTGGCAGGCAGGCAGGTAGATAGATAGAAAGCCCGTGCGGCGTGGTGCGGTGCGGCGACGGACGCACAATCGAAAGCGCGATGGTGAACGCGCGAGAGCGCGCCACGGACGCGGCGGCGGCGGCGCGCACAGCGAAGCGCGACGAACTTGACTCTCAGAGCAGCGGACCGTCCGACGAGCGAATAAAAACGGAACGTAGAAACCCGGCCGCTGCTGCTTTCTTGCGACGCTGCGCGGGATCCGGCGCGCCGCCGTGCATTATAACGCGCGGATTATTATTCGCGCACTCTGCGACCACGAAAACGACAACGTTGACAACGCTGTAGTAGCGCACTCGTAGACAGCACACAACACGCGCGCACACGATATTCGACCGACTTATCCGCGACTGCTCGACGACGGCGAGGATTCCATCCTCGCTTCTTGCGCTGCCGTCAAGAGAGTTTGAGGTCGAGGTTACTCGTCTGTCTTTCTTTCTCTTTCCTCCTCGCGCCGCGGATACAGTCCGTTGCAGCGTGTCTCGGCGTTCGCTGTCGCGAAGAACGTTCTTCAGGGACGAACGCGCGGCGGAAACGACGCGCGCATTTGTTCAGAGCGGGTTCCCAGCTGCGAGGGTTCGCCTCGTGGAAAGAGATATTCGAGAAACGCGGCGATACGTCTGCTGCTGATGCCGCTGCTGTTTCTCCTCCTCCACCTCTTTACTCCTTTCCTCCTGCTCCTCCTCTTCTATCGTCGCTCTTTCCGCAGAAAAACACAGTGGGGCGCCACGGGACGCAGACACCGCTCCTCGTCTCGCCTCTTATCTCCTTTATGCCGCTTCGCACGTGTGTCGAAAACGCGTGTGCCAGCAGCGCACCGTCGCTGCGCGACACAACAAACAACAACGACGACGACGACGACGACGACGACGGCGACGCGACGACGAGCACAACGACGGCACGACGGCGACGACGACCGCAACGAGGCGCCGCGCCGCTCGCGCGAGCCTTCCAGAAGGGTCTATCTCGTCGCGGAGTGTCTCGCGGCCGGCGGCCTCGCCGCTCTTCTCATCCTCCTCGGCAGCCGCGGCGCGAACCTCCTTGCGAACGCTGGACACACGCAAGTACGTCGCGGCGGAACGTCCCGCCGCGCGCCTCGTCTCCCGACCCCCCTTCCTCCTCCTCCTCGCCCTTTCCCCCGACGACTCCGCGCTCGCGGCGAGAGCGCATATATGTATGCGTGTGTCTTTCTCTCCTCTGTCTCGTCCTCTCTCGCTCACTCCTCTTATCTATCGCTCAACGCTCTTTGTCCCTCGTTTCTCACAATCTTACCAACGTTTCTATCCCTCTTCCGTCTCTCTTTATCTTTGCCGCACTGCGAGCGAGTGCGCGAATTCTTACTCCCTCTCTCTCTCACTCACTCACTCTTGTCGCGTATTGCGTATGATACGGGCGAGTGTACACACGAAGCAGCGCGCCACAGAGAGAGACGAAGAAGGAGACAGCGACGGACCGAGCGGCGACGACGGCGACGACGGACGGAGAGCGCGCGCGCGCGCGCTGTCCGCTCAGGTCCGTATTTGTGTTCGCGCGCGCGTGTCTGTGTACGTCTCGATTAGCGACCCGACGTGCGTGACGTCACAGCGCGACGTTACATCGCTTCTCGCGATTGTCACTCGAGATCAGCCGGCGATCGAGCGAATAGAACGCGGCTGGCGCGACGCGAAGCGCCGCAAAACGTAGCGAACGGGCGTGGACGAACCGTGGCGGCCGCCGGAGAGACACGAACACGATACCCGTGCGGCGAAGGAGAGCGCACGAGAGCTCCCTCGATAAACGTACACCGCGACCGAACTCTCGTCGGTTATCACGATCAGGCCGCGTTTCGTTGTGCGCTGCGCGAGAACGGCTGTACTGCGCGACCACACGGCACGAATCGCACGGCGACCACCACCGCACACTGGCACGCGCAAACCACCCGCGGTTGATACCACTCGTGAAACTACTGACGACTCTCCGTCGTGCAACGACTGGCGCGGTGAAGCGAACGACGGGAGGTGGTCGCGCCGATAGGTGGCAGCGCTGATTATCGCGACTGGGGCTCCGGCGGCCGACGCCGCCGTGCGTCGCGTACCGCAACTCATCGAGTATTGCCGGAGATAGCCGAGCGCGCCCGAAGCGCTGCGAGCGCGACCGATTCAATATCAAGTGCACGACCCTCCGGTGCGCGGACGGACCGACGAACGGATGGACGGACGGACGGAATGACGGCCGCGTGAAGTTTAACGAGGAAGGACGAGAGAGGGGGAGGAAAGAGAGAGAGAGAGAGAGAGAGAGATGAGTCGCGGCGGGAACGGCGCATGAATTTTCGGCGCGTTAAATTTGCTCGTCATTTGGACAAACTCGACGAGTTTTTCATTCATTCTGAGAAAAACCGGGAGAGTTTTAACTCCGTATTTTCGACAGAGTAATTTTTAGCAAATCGTCAGAAATTTATGACTCTTTTCGTCTTTAAATCAGCACTGCTATTACAGAAGATTAGTTATCTCCCTTCTCGCTGGACACTTGACGCTTTTATTAAGTCAGTATATCATCGTTATATATAAAATCTAAAAACTTCATCGACAAACTTCACAAAACAGAAAAAGTAAAGGAGTATGTGTGTGTCTGTGAAAAATTTAGATTGAGTGAAATTTCCAACTAAAGTTCCAGAGAAGAAAGGTATTAACCTTCTGTGAGAGTAGACTTGTATATTTTCTACATATTTTATTTACACGTATATTTATCTATTATATCAGTTACACGTATATTTATCTATTATACCAGTTCTTTTTTCTTTAGTACAAGAAAGATATTTTTTCTAATATATTTTTTACCCTGTATCACCGAACCATATAAAACTATTATCTTTTTTATGTACAACTACCAATATTATAACCTCTTGCAAAGCATAATCTCTGAGTGCAGAGTAGAGTGCTAAAGCAATCGTTGTGGACGAAATTCATTGAGCTATTGTAAACGGAATCGCCAAAACAAATAATTTCTTAAATAATTGAAAAGTGTTCGAAAAATACTTGGAAAAAATATATAAGTAACACTAGTATCTATTGTAATAGTTCCTTGATACTAAACCAAAACATTCACATATACATATCCACAGTAACGAGATTTATCGAAGGAATATATTTGTTTGTAGTACTCGACTATAATCATGTTCATAACGAAGAAGACGTAGAAATAGTGCAAAATATCCTGAGATACAAAACGCTTGGATCTATTATATCAGTTACACGTATATTTATCTATTATACCAGTTCTTTTTTCTTTAGTACAAGAAAGATATTTTTTCTAATATATTTTTTACCCTGTATCACCGAACCATATAAAACTATTATCTTTTTTATGTACAACTACCAATATTATAACCTCTTGCAAAGCATAATCTCTGAGTGCAGAGTAGAGTGCTAAAGCAATCGTTGTGGACGAAATTCATTGAGCTATTGTAAACGGAATCGCCAAAACAAATAATTTCTTAAATAATTGAAAAGCGTTCGAAAAATACTTGGAAAAAATATATAAGTAACACTAGTATCTATTGTAATAGTTCCTTGATACTAAACCAAAATATTCACATATACATATCCACAGTAACGAGATTTATCAAAAGAATATATTTGTTTGTAGTACTCGACTATAATCATGTTCATAACGAAGAAGACGTAGCACATCCAGACGATTTTTGGACACAGTCAGAACGATTCGTCATGCGGTATTTGATTTATAAATGACAGCTTTTATCTTTATCACCACAAAAATTATTAAATTGAAAAAAAAGACATATTACGCATATATATCACTTATTCTTTCTTCCCCTTCGCTTGTTTTTCCTTATGCTCTATGATGGACGATAATATATCTTCGTAATCTTCCTTCGCCACTTCCTCCACATCGAGTTTTGAGCTGTTGACGACGGTGAGATCGGTGATTGGTATCAGTAACTTGCAAACGACCGGTGCGCGGCCGATGATCGCGCGAAACAGAGCATTATTGCCGTCCGCGTCCACGAGATTCGCGTCCGCTCCGTGGCACAGCAGCAGCTTGACGATGTCGTCGCGGCCGCGCGTAGCAGCACGGTGCAACGCGGTCGCCTGACCATAGCGAGTCCGCGCGTTCACGTCCGCGCCGTGGTGCAGCAGCACTTCGCACAGCTGCCTTTGCGCGTTTCGTGCGGCGTAATGCAACGGCGTGTAGCCGGAGGAATCCACCGCGTTGACGGATGCGCCGTTCCGCAGCAGCATCTCCACGCGCTCCAAGTCGTCAGTCAGCGCTGAAAACGCATCGAAACGTTGTCAAAGAGCGCGAAATAGGCCGCGCAGGAGAATGTTCAAATTCAGTTCGATCACCGTTCTCCTGTAACGATTCAAAGGAATACTCGATCGCGATTGATCAGTTTCTTTGCGCGGTCAATTCTGATACTTTGGATCTGGAAATTCAAAAAGAATTCAGTCGTATAACACCAATTCTGAGTTCATTTTTAGATGCTAAAGGAATTCTTTTCACTGAACTATGAAGAATTCTCTTTGCATCTAAAAACGAATTCAGAATTGGTGACATACGACTGAATTCTTTTTGAATTCTCTGTGCTATTTCCATATGTAACGTTTAAAATTGAGCCAATTATTTTTTATCGTTTGTGTTATTTATTTTATTAATTCAATTTAATTTAAAAAAATGACTATTTCCGTTCAAAGAATGCGTGGGAAACACACTGTGAATTTATTATTTATTTTTATTGTGAAAGATATTAATTTGAAAGTACGCAAGGAAAACAGGAATGATGCAAAATGCAAAACGCACTCCACTCGAACAATCGCGTTAACAAAAGTGATCGAGTTTCTGCGAATGAAATCCGCGACTTGTATCGCCGGATGCGGTAGTACAGGGTGTCCCGAAAGATCGATTCCGTTGAAATGACGCAAACGAATCCTGGTCTTATTGGAAAATCGATAGAAAGTGCAGATATAGCGTCGCTTCTGAAATTAGAAGTCGATGCTTCTCTGACGAGTATATCGAGAGCGCATCGCCTCACGCAATTCCCCAAATTCCCGTATTCGTTATCGTAGCAATCGAATCGCCGATTAAAGTTTTACCGAAACACAATCCGCTTCAGATTGGATGAGGTCGATTATGTACGACTACTTATTCTAGTCTCTGAAACCGTATGTTCATGTCGACCGCGTTGAATGCCTATTTGCTTCATAATTTAGCATTCATTGCATTATTCCGGACAAATCTACGTTACACGAACATCGGTTTTATTTACCTGCGTACCAAATACCACGTTCGAACTCCATCTCGGCTAATGTTTGCCGAACGCCGAGATTGCTGTCCGTGGTGCACGCATCATGAGCATGATCCCCATGAGAATGAGCCATTATTTATCGTATCTGCAAATAATCGTTCTTACAATATATCATAAAGGAAAGAACAACCCCAAAGAGAGGTAATGATTTCTGGTAAAAGCACTACATGGTAATGTGGAGCGCACACTTTCTTCGCAAGATTTATTTCTTCTCTTCTACGTTTCTACATATGTTAATAATAATGCAATCGGTTTTACAACATTTAGTTAAACGCTACGCACACTACAACTATCGTAAATACAAAATAGTACACCACATGCTTCTCGTGTATATATAATCATCAATTTAGAAATTTTTTTATATAGATAGAAAATTCGTCACGCATCAAACTTATACGCGAGCGATACGAGCACAAAAGTTGCATACCAATGATCAGATTTATATCAAACTAGAATTACTAGGTATTCTCACGTTGCGTTGCCAAATGCATTTTTCAACTTAGCACGTTCCCTTTTTCGCTTCATACAATCATACAAAACCGACGCGTAAACGCCGCACTACGATATAATGCTCTTAATTATAATTTCACCATTCATGCCTTTCGGCCGGTGTAGAAAAAATCGATCGCAATAACATTTTTCCCAAATTATATCGCGATTTGCAATAATAAACATGTTGATATAAATAGGAATATATATCGCTAAAATAATAATACCACATATCAAATAACAGTTTTACATATTAAAACTCTCTGGACGATCCGGAGAAACGACATCTCGTATGACAATAACAAGATAACAACATGATAAATGCAATAAACTGTCCATAGAAGCAAGTAGTGAAAGAGAAGACTATATAAACGTTTATATATTGTTACATGAGGCCACTGTGCAATTGCTTGTGTACACAAGAATAAACTGTTGCTGTAAAAAATAACACCAATCCCAGTCTAGGTTGCTGTAAAAAATAACACCGATCCCAGCCGATTCGAATCGGCAAACTTGAATGAAAATTCGATGAAAACTCAATCTGTACTCGAAGTAAACATCTTCGACCGAATTGTATCCAATGAAGCTTGCAAAATCTCATCTCGCGCGCAACGAGGCGAAGATATCACAAATTGTCGTATAATTGGTGCTCACGTTATATCGCGATTAGCAACGCGCGCGTTTGTCTCGACAAGTTTTCCATGTTGTAAAAAGATAAATTAACGTTCGCAACGCGATTATTTTGTATGGTACAGAGAACCGTTTGCGCAGTTCAATCTCCGGATTATTATAATCGGCCGTCTTATCATAATTATACAATTTTGCCGCGCAAAACAAGTGGAAATCCCGCCGGCATGGTATAAATGTGTCGCGAGAAGATGAGGAGAATGTCCGTGTTATTGTTCATATCGACCAGTTACAATTCTACCTTTTCAACTGCCTTTTTGCTAAACGTGCCATTCAGTTTTTCTGAATGCGCGTGATCGATTATCTTAAAAGAAATTTAATGCATGCTAATTAATCCACGCGCGCGTAAGCATTAGATCACCACCGTAAAATTATACGGAGCTGTAAAATCAGTTGCGAACGTGATTCAAGATAAACAAGATATCCAGAGTCGAAAATAAACGAAATAGCAACGACAAACAGTAATGTCGCGGCTGAATGTTGATTCGTCGCTCCTAACTACGATTCGATGCGTAAACATACATATACAAGTCACGACGCGGGTACACGTGTGTGCGCTTAGCGTTATACAATACATATGTAGTAAGGCCCATTCTTAATAGCATTAACTTTCCCGCTGCAATGTCCAAAGTATCTCGCCCTCGCCGGTACTACAAACAACGCGATAGCCGAGCTCGGCCAGAGCGTTTATCACGGAGAACGGTGATCCTGAAAGCAATTTTGCAACGTATAAGTCTCCACAAAGAGATCGTAGATGGATTTGCGACCGTTATCTTTATGTCCGTCTCGGTTTTGTGTAAATTTTTTAATCGCATCGACATTCCTGGAGAAATTTCCTCGAGGCTTCGTCCGATCTAATTATACAAATTGCTAAGCAAGATAATACGAGGGATTGTTAACCTTTGATTAGAATTCCGTTTATGACATCCGAGCTTTCGGGCGCCAGCGGAAAGTGGGTGCGTAAGGCCGCCTGCTCGCCCGACGACAGACCGAACACCGCGCAATCGGTCGCGAATGGTGACGCTCTTACACCGACGTAATAGAAAATCTCGTCGTCGTCGTCGACGACGTCCAGCTTTTTGGACGTGACGTTGCTCGTTGTCTTTGCCATTGTCGCGCTAAAAGTATTGTTATACCTGGTTGCGTTTTACTTCTAGAAGAAAAGCAGACGTGACGTATGTGAGTGATATGCGATCGGGCCGCTTGCCTAAAGAGTGGCGTGAGTCAATTTGGACCTAACCTAACTATCGGGGAAATTTCGGGAAAGTTTAAAGCGTGCTCACGCGAGATGTCTTCAACGTGGCGTGTGAAGTATTTGATCGAAGTATTCCTCGACTCGTTCATTAGATGCATGTGATCTCAGTAAACTTCCAAAATAAAATTTACCTCTTCGACCCTTGAACTTTCATCATTAGAATGGACGCAAAGGCGCGAACGACACATTCCGAGTTATTCTGGTCAAGATATATACGCAGCTTGGAAATTCTTGCTCTTCGACGAAAAACAAGCTTATCGAACAAATAAATTTTTCAGAGCACTTTATTGGACTCACCGTAATTCCCCGTAATTTTTCTTTTTTTACCATAGTGCATGGAAACATCGACATATAGTACTGGACGTAGTACTGGACGGAGCATTCGGCAAGACTTCTTTGATTTTTTGTGTTGAAAGACCTAAAAAGAAAAAGCTAGATGTGTGGGCACGGATCTCTTTTTTTACCCTCTGTTTATTTGTTAAATTTTGTTTAAGGAGAAAGGAAACAATATCGTATCCTTAAAAGTTGGAAACATACATTACTATATATGAATTACTACGTATGATTACATGTTGTACGTGTAATACATATATATTACAAATTTCTTATATACTCTATAAACATTTTTATATTTCATCTTTTCCTTTTTCCTTATATTCTATATTCTTACTGTTAAAAAAAAAATTAATTAAAATAATAGAATTGTAAGTGCCTCGTGGTCCCGTTGCTCCATAAACCACTCCTACCCACACATCGTCTTGTCTCTTTCTACGTCTGTCAGTACGATTTCGGCACAATGCTCCGTCCAGTACTATATGTCGATATGGAAATAGGTTATCCTCATTTAATGTTCTTAACATAAGATATCTATCTCGAGAAGATCTTTTAAAGAGATTTGACTGAAACCACTTTTGAGACAAATGGCATATTTCTTTCCAGCGAATATGACATGAGTAAGCTGATGCGATGTGTTGTATCACCAATAGAAAATAATTAGAAAGCAATGACAGAATAAGAGATACCGTTTCCTTTCGTACTATCTGGTTATAATTACAGCTTTTTCCTTCGTCAATTTGTTATTGTGATTAATATTGCTTTAAATATCGTAGATATTTTTGTTATCATTTCTAAATGATTCGTTCATCTGAATCTTTCTTTCTATTGGGATGTGATTAGTACATATATACACAAGCACAAGTAATATGTATATATGAATGATAACATAACATTGAAATTGAGAGTTTTCAATGAACTCACGTATTTCCTGATGATATATGAAATTCTGAGTGACGAAATATCATTACTAAGACTAAATACTCGCATTTAGTGATAATTTTGGGTATATGTTTAAAATATTCTACGAACAAATTATGAAAGAGCTAAATCACTAACAATTAACGAGTAAGCAGACTGATGCTCGTGCTCTCTTTCTCACACATCAATTCAAACGTGCAATGACAAAATGATTCTAAGATGGAATTATCCGAGGTAAAAGCGCGTGAAAATATAAGTTTATTAATATAATCTATAAAAATTGCAATTATCGCGAATATATCGTGAGTCAGCGTGTGCACCTGTACGTGATGGATATGCGAAATTTTTTTAACAAAATAATACCTTAAAAGTAGTTTTAGCATATCTGCTAAAACTACTTTTAAGGTATTATTTTGAGGAGATGTTTAAAATTTCGAAAATTTCAAAGGAAAATATATTAAACATGAATGTGTGCATACGTGTAATTAATTACGTACGTTTAGTCGACTCAGAGAAATCGTGAAAATGCAAACACATATTAATCATCGATATTAGATCTATCTCTTCAGATAGCCGAAAGTACCTAAAAACAAACGAATACTTGAAATAACGCAAAAGTATTTTCTGCCAAAAGATACATGTAAAAATGTTCATGGAAATATTCCTTCGGCCTTGTAAATATTACGACATATTTTTGGTCATATATCTCTTATGATTCCCATATTATACATTTATTAAGAGAAACAAAAGTTTATCAAATATCTATCTATAATATCACTATTCAATAAAACTGCACATTGCATTTTTATTTAAAGTTAACTCGGAATTTCACACATTCATCTGGAATATAAATGAGTTAATTGAAGCATAGTTGGGACACTTGTTATTAACCATCATCATGAAATATAAAAAAACAAGTTGTTATACGTTCACGTTAATAATCACGTTAATAAACTATTTTTTTCGGCAACGATGGTAGTTACCTTTGGTGGTAGCAATATCATAAGAAGTTCTTATTATCGACGCATGGCAGTAACGTATAAATATTTCCCATTAGATTACTCTATGTGGAATTCATGTAAACAAGTAGCAAAATATTGACAAAATGTGCGCGATAATATATATATAAATTTTTTTTTAATTACACATGTACTACTTTTGCGCGAAATTTCTTCCGGAACATAACCTTTCCCCTATACCTTCGATACTTTATATTAAATTCGATATATTGCGTATCGTAACAACTTATCTTCATTAGCACATTAAAATTCATATTAAACTAATCGACTGATACTTTTTATCTTCAAAGCATTAGAATGTTTATGCATGGTAAATGTTAAAAAAGCCTCAGATGCTTCACACTGATTTTGAACCGTACCAGCTTTTATAACAGGGCCAGGTTCTGGCTCTGAAAAATCTTTTCTCATGGTCCACATGTACTCATTATAATCCTGTTTAACACTTGTGCTGGAAGACGCGACGACTTTGTAACCGAGTACCTCTAAAGCAGTCAATATTACACAAGGATGTTGCAAATATACTATTGTTGAGTCGTCGCAATATCCTCCAGAGGAGAAGCGACTCAGCTGTTCTATGTCAGTCGCTATAACATAATTGATTAACGTTACTTGCGCCTCAGTCTTCATTCATTATTGTACCTATGACATCTGTGTACAAATTCATCTCTACAATCCATAAATATATCAATCTATTGTAGATTTCTAAATTTTATTCCTTATTGTACATGAAAAGACTATCAAAAAACATGATCTAAACTACTACAAATATTACTTGTGAGATGTTGGACATATCATTTCACTACTGCACATAATAAGGAATAAAACATGTACATGAGGTCAACATGATTCATACCTTTAAGCCCTGATACTAGAACCCTCCAAGGATATTTATGACCATATGATGCTAGGTTACCACGTACTAGAATATATGGCATCTGTAATAGTTGGCTAAAACGATCTGTAATAGATGACACACTCTATGGATATGTGTCACATATATGTTTAAGCAATAATGTAAGAAATCTCTGTACAATACTGCTTGTACCTTAATTAGATAGCTACAACTCTATATCAACAATAAAATTACTCTGTTAGTGCTTTAACTTTGTAGTTAGATTGTATGTCATAAACATCTGAAAGTCCAGAGAGTTCCCAAAAGTCATCAAATCACTTATAAACATTTTTTTCAATGCAAAATTGAAGAAGCAATCACACTTGTCAGTGTTACACGACATTAGACAAAAGAAAATGAAACAGATCTTACAACAACTAAACAGATCTTACAACAACTAAACATATAAGTACAACATGCTTGTTTTAAAAAGTTTCATAATTAACATATAGTGTTCATTTCTGCCAATGTCGATTAAACCTAAACCTGAGTTTAAATATTGTCTAAAGTTTAAATTCAAATGAAGATTTAATCGATATTGACAAAACGAGACATAAATAGATAAATAACAGACTACATTTTGTCTCCACATAACCTGTAATTATGATAATTAAAAATATGCAAACCTAACCTAATCTCTTAAAATAAATGCATGCAAATATGCGACACGTGTTTCATAAACCGTAGAACCTATCCTAACATACTTTTATTTCACAACGAGTAAAATAGAGCGAACTGTTATATGAAATATATGCACTGAATATATATATTGGTATTTCATGGAAATTCGACATAGGGGATACGTGGATAAACAAATTTCAATAGCATGGATCAATAGTGAATCAACGGCTCATATCTAATTGCGACAATTTGAATCATGCGAATTTCTTTCAGCGCTATTAACATATTATCGATTCTTACCTAGAACAACTATACGACTCTTGGCGATACAATGTAAATAAAAGCAGCCACGTATATGATACCGAGAGGTCGTTGCGATTCACCGTGCTCTCTCAGCTCGATCTTCTATTCAAATGACTCAGTCGCTCTCACCGCTTCGAAATTCGAACTACTGATAATATTCTGTTTTTATTTACACGAGCAACGAAGAATCTCGCAAAGTACGCAATACTTGTAACCCAGAAATAATCGTGGGACAAACTCGCATGCGTATTAGCGCAAGCATGAATACCTCTCAGTACTGTATACACTTCATCGTAATAAGAGTATCTATACGCCCTTTGCAAAAATGGAAGAATTAAGAAAAATTATATAGAAGTCAATATAAATCTCTTTTCTAAATACATAATATTAATAATACATACTTAATATGACACTTCATATATATTTTTTTATATTATTAATATAAATATGAATAAGAAAAATACAATTTATACAAAGCACCTACGCTGCATATGAAGTCTGTTCGCGTTGCTCGCACTTTTGACACTTTAAAGGCTGGTTTATAATGGCCGTAATCCGTTAACTTATGCCAGAACGTAAAAATTGACCAATCACAGTCGATTATTCTTCTACAATTCATTAGAAAAGCTATAGTTCATGTTACGTATATTATAGCTCTTCACTAAATGTCGTATGCGATATATTTTCGAGAATCATGACCCAGATTCCTCATCCGGGTGCACTCTATTACTAGAAACACTATAGTATGGGTACGGTCGAGCAGGCACTGCAAATGCTTTGTAGCGTTTTTACTTCTTTCTCTTTCTTCATTCGAATCCAAGGAATAGAACAAGAGGGAAAAACACTGCGCAGCAGTGTAGCGGTGTTGGACCGCGCCCTTTATGTTACATATACTATAGCACTTCTAGTAATAGAATACACCCGGATGGGGAATCTGAACGTAGCCAAGCAGGAAAGCCCGTTTAATACTGCAAATACTTTAAAACGTTAAATAAAGCAATGTGATTGATTCATTCGTCGCTCTGAAGCACTTACAGCACTAAATGGAACTATTTATTGCACTAAAGCTTATGGAGGATTCACACCGCGTCCGATGTCTAATAGAGAATACAATTCTCCATTGGAAAGCTGTTCTCCTATTGGATATCAGACGTCGTACGTCTGACATCGGACGCGGT